CTCGATTCCTTTCATGAACGAGAGGTCCACAAATCGAACGATCAAACCTTTAAACAGTTAGGATCGTCTTAAACCCCCATTTGGTCAAACCTTACTATAATTAAGACCAAAACCAAAATTCTCTCTCGATTCCTCCAAGGAACGAGAAGTCCACAAATCGAGCGGTCAAACATTCCTACAGTTAGGATCGTCTCAAAACTCCCATTTGGTCAAACCTTTAAACAGTTAGGACCAAAGCCAAAATCCCCTCTCGATTCCTTTCATGAACGAGAGGTCCACAAATCGAACGATCAAACCTTTAAACAGTTAGGATCGTCTCAAACCCCCACTTGCTCAAACCTTACTATAGTTAGGACCAAAACCAAAATCCCTTCTCGATTCCTTCAATGAACGAGAAGTCCACAAATCGAGCGGTCAAATTTTCCTACAGTTAGGATCGTCTCAAAACTCCCACTTGGTCAAACTTTCCAATAATTAAGACCAAAACCAAAATTCTCTCTCGATTCCTCCAAGGAACGAGAAGTCCACAAATCGAGCGATCAAACCTTCCTATAGTTAGGATCGTCTCAAAACTCCCATTTGGTCAAACCTTTAAACAGTTAGGACCAAAGCCAAAATCCCCTCTCGATTCCTTTCATGAACGAGAGGTCCACAAATCGAACGATCAAACATTTAAACAGTTAGGATCGTCTCAAACCCCCACTTGGTCAAACCTTACTACAGTTAGGACCAAAACCAAAATCCCTTCTCGATTCCTTCAATGAACGAGAAGTCCACAAATCGAGCGGTCAAACCTTCCTACAGTTAGGATCGTCTCAAAACTCCCACTTGGTCAAACCTTACTACAGTTAGGACCACAATCAAGATTCCCTTTCGATTCATTTCACGAACGAGAGGTCTACTTTTGAATTGAATAATCAAACTTTATGACAGTCAGGATTATTCAAACCAGTCCAGATTCTCTAAGTGGAGATCCCACTTTGAGTTTCTTTTGCACCAGGAGATAGAATATAAAATTCTTCCTCTCCGATTTTGGGTTTATCTCTACCAACAAAAAAGAGACAAGGAGATGAATATAAAATTCTTCCTCTCCGATTTCTGGGTTTATCTCTACCAACAAAAAAGAGACAATGAGATAGAATATAAAATTCATCCTCTCCGATTTCGGGTTTATCTCTACCAACAAACAAGAGACCAGGAGATAGAATATAAAATTCTTCCTCTCCAGTGTCGGGTTCACCTCTACCAACAAAAAAGAGACCAGAATACTCCAATAGGTATACGAGTCTAAACTATTTCCCTAATCTCAACAGGAAATTTCTGGAGGATATCACTCAGAATATTCTTAAGAATAACCTGAATACTCCAATAGGTATACGAGTCTAAACTGTTTCCCTAATCTCAACAGGAAATTTCTAGAGAATATCACTCAGAATATTCTTAAGAATAACCAGAATACTCCAATAGGTATACGAGTCTAAACTGTTTCCTAATCTCAACAGGAAGTTTTTGGAGAATGTCACTCAGAATATTCTTAAGAATAACCTAAATACTCCAATAAGTACACGAGTCTAAACTGTTTCCCTACCCTCAACAGGAAATTTCTGGAGAATATCATTTAGAATATTCTTAAGAATAACCTGGCTACTTCCCAACGAGTATATGAGGTTAAACTATTTCCCAAACACTCCAATATAGTATATGAGTATAAACTATTTCTTTATTCTTCGACGGCAGTTCTAATTCAAGACTTTGACAACGGCCACGCGATAAACGCAGCACCGGAGGAATTTTAGCTATTCTAC